CTTACCATTTGCAACAGCATGGATGGACCTGGAGAGCATTATGCTAAGCAAAATAAGCCTGTCAGAGAAAGATAAATATCACATGATCTCACTCATTTGTGGAATATAATGAACAACATAAACTGATGAATAAAAATAGATCCAGAGACATAGAAGCATCAAACAGACTGTCCAACCTCAGAGGGAAGGCAGATGAGGGGCTAGGGTAAGAGATCAACCAACGCAATTGTATGGATATATATAAGCATGCCCTATGGACACAGACAGTAGGGGAGTTAGGGCGTGTGCTGGGGGGTGGAAGTGGCCAGGGAGAGGCAATGGGTGGAAAAAGGAGACATATATAATATTTTCAACAATAAAGAATTTAAATTAAAAAATAATGCATTTAACAACACACAACTAGCAATGGGTCCTACCTTAACACCTCGTCTAGTTCTGATATTAGTATAGATAGAGATATAGATACTAGTACAGCAGTGGAAGTAAAGATGCCCCTTACTCGTGATTAGTGTTTACATGGTATTATTTCCATCACTCTAAACTTTGCTATGTCTTTATACCTGTGAGGTGTCCATCACTAACAGTGTAAAGTTGGATTTGCTCTTTTTTATGTAAAGCAACTATGATATTTGTGCAGAATTTTATCTATTGATATCTAATATAATAATATATCTAAATTTATATTTTTCATATTACTGATTTTTATTTTGATACACCTGCTTCACATTTATTTTATTTAAATTCTTTATTATTTAAATTATTACATAAGTCTCCTTTATTTCACATTGACCTCTCCTTTACTTCCTCCACCCCCCAACACATGCCCTGACCTCCCCCCCATCTGTGTCCATTGGTTATGTTCATATGCATGCATACAACTCCTTTGGTTGATCTCTTACCCCTCCCCCCCACCTTTTTGTCCATAAGTTTATAATATTTATATTCCACAAATGAGTGAGATCATGTGGTATTAATATTTCTCTGACTGGATTATTTCACTTAGCACAATGCTCTCCAGTTCCATCCATGCTGTTGCAAATGGTAAAAAATTCCTTCTTTTTTACAGTAGCATAGTATTCCATTGTGTAGATGTACCACAGTTTTCTAATCAACTCATCTGCTGATGGGCACTTAGGCAGTTTCCAAATCTTAGCTATGGTGAATTGTGCTGCTATGAACATAGAGATGCATATATCCTTTCTTATTGGAGTTTCTGTATTGTCTCTTATCTTGCTCCCTTTTGATTAATCAAATATATATTCTTATTTCATTCCCCTTTGTTTACTTATTGGTAATATATTATTATTATTATTATTTTGTAATTCTTTTACATGCTATATGTAGAGATTACCTCTTACTTTCTCTTTAATTTTTCACTGTAGTTTAATATACAAAACATAAAATGTATCATATTAGCCATCAGAGGTATACAATTAGGTGGTATTTAGGACACTCAACACCAATATCTCATACTAGGACCCATAAAGAAAACTCTATAGAACATCAATGCAATAGCATTTTGCAACAGGGAGAAATATAAGAACAGAGATATTTATGAATCAATATGGGGAAATAGGATATATTGTTAAATTTTAAAAAGCAATGTGTAAAAGACCATTTATAGCATGCTATGTCATGTAAAAATGAAAGGTAAGTAAAATATTCATATATCTGCCCATTTAAACATAGAGAAACACAGGAAGTAGTTAAGATCTGAAAAGAGCCTAAGTGCCCATCAGCAGACGAGTGAATAAAAAACCCATGGTACATTTACACAATGGAATACTACTCAGCAGAAAAAAAGAAAATCTTTCCTTTTGAGACAGCATGGATGGACCTGGAAATTATTATGCTAAGTGAAATAAGCTAGTCAGAGAAAGACAAATGCCATATGATCTCACGTGTGTAATCTAATGTTCAAAGTAATAAAAAATACACAAAATAGAAACAAAAGCATAGAGTACGTAGAGTAGACTGACAACTGTCAGATCAAATAAATGGTGAAGGAATAAAGCAAGAAAAAATATATATCATATATAGACACAGAAAACAGTATGGTGAGTGCCAGAGGAAAAGGGGTTTTGGGGAGGAGGTGAAAGTAAACAAAATGGGATCAAAGGAGAGAGAAAGAGATATGACTTGGGTGGCAAGTGCACGATGCAGTATCCAGGTGTTGTTTTATTTAGCTGTACACTTGACATCGGTATGATTTTATTAAATAACTAGGGGCCCGGTGCACGAAATTCTGACAGAGATGTCAGGCCTGGGCAGGGGACCCTCATTTCCCCCCATCACTGGTTCTGCCCCCAGCCCAGGCATGATGCCTCTGGCCCAGGTGTCAGGCCTGGGCAGGGGACCCCCAGACCCCTCCAATTGCTGGCTCTGCCCCTTGCCCAGGCCT